GCTGTTCCACCATGTTCTCAGTCTCATGGGGAAAAAAGAAACCAAAGCAAAACTGTTGCTGATCATGAGCTTTGCATTGTATTCACCGTTTCTAAATTCCTTACAAAGGTAAGTGATTTACAAGTCTTGTAAATCACTCACTGACCCTGAATTCTTCTGCAATGCACAGGCAAATTCTGCAACAAACTAAAAATTCTATGACATATCATCAATCTAACACACACACTTCAATTCCAGTAAATTTTTAGGCACATTTTTTTCCAGAAAAACTTATCACAGGTAAGTTACGTTAGCTTATCTAGGCATCTAGTGAGAAGTGGATGACATACTTATCAGCCCCGTGCTTGCTTTTATGTGGGTTTATGAAGAAATAAAATGGGAATTCAACAAAAATGTTCAAATTAAACACATGGTCTGAGTCTAATTAATTAAACATATATACAGACTTCCTCTTCCTCTTTGGGAAGTTCCACTTTAAAGATTATTTGTATTAATAAGCACAAACATGTACATCATCCCAGGATCCCTCATAAGGGCTATTTCTTCTTCTCAGCCTCAGCTTTGTTGGTTATGCCTGTTTGGAGAACTAACTTAACTGCTTCTCCTACAGCAGTCTCTGTACATTGTTCAAAACTACTTATCTCACCTAAACCAATTCATCCATAAGGCCAAGATTATATTAGTTTTCAACTTCCTTTATTCCTTTCAGTTCTTTTCAAAGTACTTTTGAAATCTGGTCTAGTAACACCAGGAAAGTTGAAGAATAGCTAGTGATAGTCAACTGAAAGATATTTTGCCTTCTCCTACTTTGAATAATACATTTTTATTCATTCTTGATAGCTGGTTTTCTTAGACTGCAAGTTCCTTCCAAGTGCATACAGACAATGCCTTGCAAATTGACAGTTTGTTGGAATACAATACATAATATTCCTGTGTTCTAGGAAATAGAATATATATTTATATACCATATTTGTAATGATTTTGGAAGCAGTAAAGGCCAACGTATCCACTGGGAAGCTATTATTTAACCCTTTTAAGATTATTTGTCCCTGATACCCTTGTACCCCACAGTGCAGCACCCATTACAGAAATACACATGTGTATAAACATCTAATACCTACCTAGTATCATGTATCCCTAAGTTACATATTCCTGTGAATACAACTTGAACAATTTGACAGAAGCATTTGTTTTTCATTATTCTACCTATTTTATATGTTTTTCAATAGAAGCAGCAGTTCAGTGGATTAAGTACCAAAATGGTGCCCGAGAGCTCCCAAGCTTCTTTCCTGTCTCTGATACTGAAACAATCACTATCTTTTACCTACGCTGTGACTGCTTCTACTCATTACCTCTAACTTGTATCCTCCAGAATTTATATAAGCATTATCTCAGTGTTGTACGTTGACACTGTGCTGTACAGGTTAGGAAAAAAAAATAATCAATCTAGCCAGAGGTGACAGAAAAAAAAAACTGCCAGAGGGAAGAAAAAGGTGATGACTAGTATACTTACCTTTCATTCACTGACTCTCCCCAAGCCATCAGCAAAGAAGAGGAAAAAGGAGAAAAGGTAGAATAAGGAGAAGAGTACTAGCTAGCCATGCTTATGCTTTTCTCTTTTAAAAAGTCAGATAATAATTTACCTATCAGGTAGTGACAGGCAACACCAGCACCAGGAGAATATAAACTATTCTATTTATGGTCCCCTGGATCTTGAAATGTTATAAACTTACTACCCATCATCATTTCATTAGCAAGCACAAGACCTAGAGAAGGAAGGAGGCAAGCAGAGTTTCCACAATGTCGCTCAGTTTACTCTAATAGTAAATACTCATAAAATTAGGATGAAATTCTGTCTTATAAAGTCAAAAGGGAACAATACTCTAATTCTTAATAAAGCTAAACCTGAATATGTTTCTGTACAATCTTTCAATTAAAGCATTCTATAGGGTCTTTATTTTTTAGATTCCAAAGAACCTTTAAAGGCCTTTCAAATCCTAATTTGTTAATTGTCCTGAAACTACTTAGCAATAATACATATCTGGGGAGAGGGGTGTGTGTTATGCTTTAGGAAGCACGAAGAGGGTGAATGATTCACCTGAAGTTATACATGAAGGCTGTGGTACAGCTAGGCTGACAGACAAACTTCAGGAATCACACTGCTGTGCTTCATCCACTAGATGAACTCAACTCATTAAGTGATACAGCTCTACTTCGAACAAAATGCCCGTTGAAATAGAGATTGACAGGTAGTTATGTCACAAAACAGCCTGAGGGACCTGTCCTGAAATAATGAATGCATTCATATAGTGGAAGGATGGCTCAATAGAGATGTATGTAACGTGTACCAGAGGAAAAATACCTGTAACCTATGTGTTTCTTGAGTGTCCTTTAAAGATTCCAGTTGCTCTTCATTTTCCTGTAGTAATGTCTTTATCTGATTCTGCAGTATCTGCAGTTCATGATCCTTCTGGCTAAACACTTCTTCTTCTATAACTAGAGCCTGCCAGATAAGAAAATAAAAGTTCAGCTGGGGAAAGGGGGACATTATTATTCTTATAAAAACCAGGCCCGAAACCCTCATTTGTTGTTAAAACATGTGATCAGAACTGCAAAGTGCTGAGGTATGTCTGACATTGTCTAAATGGTTATCTGTGGATCCTACCAGTTATTTCTTCACTTTTGTTTCATCTATTGATTTTCTTCTGACAAGTTTCTTTCTTTCAAACAGAATAATGTACCCATAACCAAAGATACTTTATTGAAGTCGATATCTAAATCCCATTATTCTCTTTAGGGTGCTGTGAGATGTAGCCACAAGATCTCAGCAACAACCACAAGACTAATACACTTGTTGAGCGAAAAAATAAGGAGAGGTGTCCCCATTCTGCAACTCAGATAACAGCCTAAAGATTAAAGAAACCGTAAGAATGCTTCTTCAGATGTTCTTGTGGATAAATAATCCAGTACCAATTGAAGGAGACTTCCAAATGTTGTTACGCTTCCAGAAGGCCTGTAGAAGCCAAGTACAAAGTATGGAAACATCATGTCTTATTGTTCTAAAACTTCTGTACAACTAGCTTACCTACATCTTTCTTCCAAGAAAAGACAACTCTTAAGAGCCTTTAAGAATGCACTGAGGAACCTGATGGATCTTTAGAGAGACATTTTTCCAAAGTCTATGTACCAGTGCAAATACTTCTACTAAACAACACAGATGACTGTTGTATCTTGTCCTCCACTGGTGCTGTATCATTATGCAGAGTTGAGCCAAAAACAGGAAAAAAAAGCTTTCACAGATGTTAGCATGGTGACAGAGTGCGGCAGGATGAAGTGGCAGAAGACTAGAGTGGCATATTGTCCATGTTGTATTAAACATACATAACTAAAATCAGAATATATTTGCTGAGTTGTATTGGGTGTAGGTATCAAGTGTTTGGTGGGGGTGAATGCAGGGGTGGTGTCTGTGAGAAGAGACCAGAGTTTCCCCATGCTGGACCCAGCCAGTTCCAGGTGACTTCACTGGATGCACCACAAGGAACAGCTGAGCCCCTCAGCCAAGATGAGGGTGCCTCTGTGGTAATATACTTAGGAAAGGGCACAAAATGCCAGACAAGCAGAAGAGGAGGGAACCAAAATAGTGAGAAAGAGCACAAACACCAGGAGGAGAAGGAAGAGGTGCTCCACGGTGCAGCAGCAGATACCCACACTGCAGCCTAGGGAGGACCCGATCTGTAGCAGATGGATATTCCTGAAAGAACTGCTGGCCATGCAGAGCCCATGCTGAATCAGAGGAAAGGTGAGAGGAGGAAAGAGCAGCAGAGAGAAAACTGTAATGTACCAACCATAAACCACCCCCGCTACAGTGCGAGGAGAGCAGTAGCAAGTGAAAAGTGAAGATAAGCCTGAAAAAGGCAGGGAGGAAAGGTGTTGTTTCAGTGTTTGTCTTTTTGTTCTCCACTACCTAAATGAGCAATTTTTTTAAAAAATTATTTGTAATAAATATTTCTTTCCAAATTCAAGACTGTTTTTTAATTGTTAAGCAATCTCCCTGTCTTCATCTCAACCCACAAGCCTTCTCATTCCTGTTCTTCCTGTTTTCTCTCCCCAAGTCCTGCTGATGGAGGGGTGAAGGAGTGGCAGGGTGGGAGCCTGGCTGTTAGCTACAGCTAGCCCACTATGCCAGTATTTTTATTTTGTGTAAGACAGCATTATCCAGACAATCACAGCTGTTAGCCAAGAAATATATACGTACACACAAGAAGAGGTCCACTATTAGCTGTCCATATGCAAGCCCTGCTCTAGAGTCTGTATTGTTTTGTTTATTTTAACCTCTCCCTAACCATCTCCTCCTGGCTGTGGATGGCACACTCACCTGGGGAAATTTAAGTTTAAACTCAGCTCTTATACTAAGTGCTTTGAACCTGGGAAACACAGGTTTAACATAAGCTAAGGAAGGAAATAAGGAAGAAAAGAGCTGTGATTTTGATTGATTGAGAACAAAGAAAAGACAGAATTTGTATATGCAATTGCCTGATAACAATCTACAGTCTTATCACAGTTTGGCATGCAAACTGAAAATGGTTTGATGTTATAAAATTTTAACTTGTTGGAGCACTGTCTCCCCCTACTACAAGACAGACTCAGATTAGTTTTTCTGAGCCGTTCGTCTTACGTCAGAACTTCACTCCATTTCAGACCAGTGTACAGGCATTAACTACAAAATTAATTTGAGGCCCATTTCTTGTATACTAATCTGCATTATTTTGGATGTTTTGCTATTCACAGTCAACATTTTAACTCAGTACATCCAAAATATGCACTTCCTAAAAGTATATGGGGATGTCCCCAAAAAGATTTATTTGATCATATGTCAGTTCAGTGAGGAGATATTATGAAGCTTGAGAAGGCTGAGAGCTCTTCTCCCCATAGGTCATTGTCTAGGACTATTATATGCTGCCTGAGAAAGAGCTAATCAGTGCTATCAGCATGACAGGATCCTCATGGGATATCTGCATGTTAAGAATCCTACCTCTTGTTTTGAAAGGCTCATCTCAGCTAGAAAACTGTAAAGTAGTACAATGCCACCAAAAAGCAGAAAATTGTGTTGGGTTTGCGGGGGCGGGGGGCGTTGGGTGGTTTTTTTTTTTGGTAGTGGGGGAAGGGCC